AACAAGAAATAAAGTTTACTTTTTGGTTATTTTTCCCCACAAAAGATTTCATTTGAAGAATGTAGAGTGCTACTAAAATATTTCAGGCAAGATTTTGCATCCAAATTTGCATCCACATACATACCTGGATGTTATTCTTATTTTCTTTGCAGGTGTATACAGCTCAGCACCTTCACACACCCCTGAATGTGCTGTCTTTTCTCTCTCTGTTCCCCCAAACTGTAGAATTTTTGCATACTTGTTACTGCTCTTAATGATTACCCAGCTGGAAGTGATTTTCTCCAGCTCAGGCAATTTCTCTAATTCATTGTAAGGAGACAAAAAAAGGGCAGGCTAGAGAGGTATCTTATAGAGTAAACGGTACAATACAAAGACCCAATCCTGGTCCACTTGAAATGAAGGGAAAATTACTCCAATTTCAGATGTAAGTGTTACTACATTTTAAAAACTTGCATGCGATTGAAGAATTGCATGATAAACTTTTTAAAAAACCCAAAAAACCTCCCTGCCAAAGTTCACTACATTATCCATTAGACCACTTCAGAAAACACACATTTGGAAGTGTAATTGCTCTGAGTGCAAACACTCAATGCCTTTTAAAACCTTCAAACACTTTTTTGGTAAACAATGTAATGTTCTGAGCCAGCCCATCATGGCTCCTCTGCCTGTCCTGCAAACACACAATGCCTCCGACTGGCTGGTAATGTTAATAACGCTAATTAAGGCATTTAAAAAGGCCTGATGGAATACTGACACAGTACCAAGTACCTGATGATCCCTAGTCATCCTTTCTAGGGTATGAGCTAACAAATGGGACAAGCTAACTGCCTCCACTCACCAGGACTTCAGGAGTAACCCTGTTTATTGCCTTCTAAAATTCTAAACAGATTTGAGGGAATCTACTGGGTTCAGACGGGAAAAATCAAATCACTGCTTCTTTTGCTGGCAACAGATTAGGAAGGCAGGGAAAGAGTTTCCTCTCCTTCCTTTGAAAAATATGAGGCATTTCCTAAGGGGAACATCATAGATGCTGTTTCCCTGAGGGTTTTTTTTTTTAAATGTGGGGTTGGCTCTAGGAAGGGAACTCTATGTTAAGGCTAGAAAGACCACTGAATATTACTATTCATATAGCCAGGAAAAGGAACAACTGGAAAACAGTAATTAATAAAACAAACAGTGTGGAAGCTTCACAAAACCAGAGTTTCCAGACCTAGCTGCCCTATGTAGCCATCTGTGGGACTCCCGGCAGCATACCTCAAACTCTGTAACAGGTTGTCTAATAGGGGTGTGCAAAGCAGGCCCTATTCAATTCGGATTTGGCCCAAATCAGGGACAGTGATTCTATTCGTTGATTCGGATCACTGTCCCTGATTCAATTTGGCCCAATCCAAATCTGAAGATTTGATGCCGATATGGACATAGACACAGCTTGAAATGTTTTTTCTACGTACCTTGACGTACCATCCCGACTTGTGAATGCTGTCATGCTGGAGCTCGTGGAGTATCCCACAGGAGTGAGGGGGGGTGGCCCTCCACATGCTCAGCAGCAAACCCAGAAGTGGACTGAAAATATTTCCGGTCTACTTCTGGGTCTGCCCGGCAGCATGCTGGGCCCCCCCCACCCTGCACCCCTCTAGCTCAGCGATCAGCTGCAGGGGGACCCTGGGTGCCCCCCCAGACCCAAGAGGCACCAGTTGCCAAGCCCAGGGGTGTGGGGAGGCCCACCAGCACACACCCCAGTGGACCCACAAGTGGACTGGAAGTGCTTCTGATCCACTTCTCGGTTTGCTGCCGAGCACGCTGGGGAGTCCCCATGCTTTTGTGGGACGCTCCATGCACCCCAGCATCACAGCATTCACAAGCCGCCTGCTACCTAGAGGTATGTAGAAAAAACATTTAAAATTGCGTCTGTGTCTGTGTCCAAATTGCCGAGTCTTTCTGAATTTCTCTGAATCAATTTGGAGAGTTCCAATTTGATTTGGAGAGATTAAAGGGTCCTCTGATTCGATTCGGGCCACTGACCACTGAATCGGGCCAAATCTGTGCTGAACCGAATTGGGGACTGAAGCTTTGCACAGCCCTACTCGTCTAAACCAGGTTTCTATCAAGTGCACATGGTACCTAAGCATTACTCGAGTGATCATAATTATTAGAAATTGGCTTTAAGACATGAGAACAGAGAAACAGCCTCTGCTCCTTTATGGACTACTGAATGCACCCAAGATTCCTGGAGCTTCATGTCTGTGAGCTGGATTCATGGGTTTCTGGTTCTGCATCCTGTATTGAACACTGGCAGTGTAAGTGCTTTGTACAATCTACATTTTACACATGCATTCGGTTTCCCCAGACAAGTCGGAAAGTAGTGATGCTACATATTAGTATGTGTAGATGTGCTGAGGTACATTTTGTGCATGTTCGAGTACATTTTTTACTTCCGTTAGGGAACTTGCCTATTGCCAGAAATCAGTGCAGGTGAATCAGTTCTTAAGCCAGGTTAACTGTGAGCAGAGACAAAATAGCAGCATGCCCACATTCAGCACTTGCTCACCTGTACCCATGATAATATGCAATAAAATAAATTCAGTAGTAAGCAGTTTTCTTTGTGTGTAGAGGTCTATGCTACCCAGAGGGAGGATGCTGGCAGGCCTGCGGACAGACATTTTGCTAACTCTTGTCAGTGACAGTCCAGGGGCAGGGCCAGCCCACTGCTTGGGCAGAGGACATTAGTTCTGGCCTTGGCTAAATCAGCACCCTGCAAGGTGGGGTGAGTGGGGTGCTGCAATGCTCCATAGGATATCAGTTGTCTGTAACCTATGGTGAATTACAATGCAATATGGTACAGACATTTGTTACAGTGCTGTAACCTGCAGTGCTAATATCCATCCAGAATTATCTTAGAGTGGAATCTGCCCTTTTTACAGCACTCTATATGCCCTTACCATATGTTCGATTATGGCTGTAAAGTGCTTTGTGCGCCTATCATGCAATAAGTGTAACTTCTGTACCTTGCCTAGGTGAAGTAACTCTGCACCTAGTGTTTGCTGAGGTGGGAACTAAGTCTTAGTTGTTTTAAGGTTGGGTCTTAAGCGCTTTTCCAGGGTGGTCACTGATAAGCTGTCCAGTCCAGTCCAGTCCAGTCCCATGCAAATCTATATACATCTCATAGCCTGAGGTGACCCAGAGTATTTAAGGTGAGCGGAGCTAATGGATTAGGGAAAGATTTCATTTCCATTGAAATATCAATAAAAACAGAGGAAGATAAAGCAAATGGATGTAGCAATTGATTGATGCTCAGCAGAGCTTGGAAACTTAAGGCATCTGAGGCTGGCTGGGTGGAGTTCCAGCTGACAGCACCATTCTCGTGTGTGGGGACGGCAGCCAGTCGATGTCACAGTAGGTCATGAATTCTCAGACTCTTTCCAGGAACTAACCACAATTTTGCTAATGTGTTTATGCAACTAGTCACAATAGTAGGAAAACTGGGTGCATTTGTGGGTAGCTGATAGGTTCTAAGGGCATTCTAAGGAGGCTAACAGGTACCAGGGAAGCAGGGCCTGTTCCTTGGATTCTGGCTTTCTGCAGATTTTTCAGAAAAGAGTGTTACTTCTCTTCCACTCCAAATGTGCTTGGTATTATGTTGTTCTTACAATTTTGCAAAAATGGCATAGACCCCTCTCCCTCTAGAGATAAGTGCCTTTACACAGCAAAGTCACCAGACAGTAAAAGGCTGCAGAACTGAAAATACTGGGTCAGAAACTTTGCCAAAATGAAATACAGAGAGAGAGAGAGAGAAACAAAAAGAGAAAGAGAGAAACAGAAAGAGAAATCTGGAATTCGTCAACAAGTCATAGACTTCAGGAAAGGAAATGACCTACAAGGTCACTTAGTCCTCTCCCACTTTCCTCCCCCTGGGACCAATGCAGGACTGTTCCCTGCAATTATTTAGTGCTCTGTCCAGTCTAGAGTATTAAATGATTTATTGTAAGTGATGGGCCTTTTACTTCTCCCTCAGGAGACAACACAAAGCTTAATACATCTCACTGCCAGGAAGTTTATCCCAATACTCATTCTTTCAGTATTCCCCTTCCCTGAACCTGTAAGTATACCTCTTTGATTATCTTAAATTAATCCTCCCCGCCATCCTTGTCTGAATGCTGTTTGCAGTAACTGGAGCGGGTTATCATGTTTCCTCTCACTCATCATGCACACATATGTAATTCTTATTTTTCCTTTGTAATACAATCCTTCCTATCCCCTGAATATTTGACTCAGCATCCTCCAGGTGTCCAATCTCCCTCCCTGATCAACATGGTACCCAGAATTGTAGACAATACTGCAGTTATACTCAGAGCAGAGTTGGACTGCCAAAGGTCTGTTGCCCCTCAGCTCAAGCGTGGAGCCATTTTAACAGTTTGCTTGACCGTACCCTGCAAGCTGGTGCATGCCATTCCCCTTTGAGTTCAGTGTAGGCTCCTGGGCTTTTATTGTAACCTGCCAAGCCAGAGTGTTGGGCATGCAGATCTGCTACATACAGATAAGTGAAGGGGTACAAGCTTCCCAAGATCATGAAGAGGCTGGAGAAAACACCCCACAATCTGATCACCACCTCCTCACACCAGTGGCCACAGCACAACTCACACAGGCCAAAAGATCCTTCCACTGTTTGGCCCATAAATGTGCTGCTTGGGTGAAATGCAGCTTTCCACATGTAGCGCCAAGACTGTTCAAGTGAGCCAGTACTGCCTGTAGAGGCCTGCACATAGTTCAGTGGCAGCTTATAGTCTGTGACTATGGCCCAATCAACCTGTGCAAGACTTGGCCGGATGAACCTTCATTTGCATGGAGTTGGTGCCCTGTAAGCTCCTATAGACTGCACCTCTGTATTTAGTGAGAAACCAAGAGTGGCCTAGGTCCTAGCAGGTTGCCAATCCAACCCTGTTAGAAAAAAACCACATGCCCATGATCTGCAGCAAACCATTGCTATCGGGAGTGCAACCTACCTTTTCACCTGGAGTGACAGATATTCTCCAAACACAGTGGGAATAGGAAGGATAGCCATTTGGAAAGCCAGGAGCAGAGAAATTCCCTGTTGAATCCTGCAAGGTCTCCCCACAAGCTGTGGGACAGAAAAACAGCAGCAAGGAGTTACCATCTAAAGCAATTGGCCAGAGTTTTATGTAAGTGTTTTTGATCTCTGGTGGCATGTATTGGTATGAGGCTTTGCAGCCTTGCACCTTTAGGTCACTGGTTCAAAATCCAACCCCTTTTGATAGAGATCAAAGCGCATTACCATACGATAAACGTTTGAGGGCCTATCTGAAATCTGTTAGCATACACAGGATAAAAATGGTTTACAGCAGTCACTGGCTGCCAAGAAAACAGATCATGACAAAGGATGAACGTCTCCCTACACCATTCCCTTTTACACACGCTGCTTATTCTTTTCATATTTTTTAATTTAGCCAAATCGTAGAAGGTCCTGTCCACCCTCCAACCAAAGGCAGAGAGACCATGAATACCAAAGCCTGCTGCCAGGAAAGCTATTTTCCCTTCGTTACAATCTGCTCAATAAAGTTCTCCTTAGTTACCATTGTTAATAGGCTTTTTCAGGTTAAAACACTGTAACAAAAGGAAGGCGAGCCCCTCCCTCTGCCCTCCCAAGCACACCCACTCTGCACTGCAGCAATGTATGGCATTCAGTTTTCATGTCACAGCTTGCTCCACTCTTCACCATATTTGTTTCCTGTGGCAGCTGAGGCAATGTAGATCCCAGAATTATTTTTTTTATAAACCACACTCCTTCCTTTTGGGAATAGGAGCTTCCAACATCTGTGAAAGCAACTACTACTGTAGTTCCTGTTCACTGAGCCAGGACGGAAGGGCTTTCAAACACGTGCACAGCAGATGACTGACCGGGACAGGAGACCACACATTTCAAAGTGCCTGTTTTCATTCACACTGCAATAGAAGCCACGTGTGAATACACACTATCTGAAGCAGATGATACCAGGCCGGAGGCACGATTTGCTTAGGATTGCTTTTAATTTCATAACCGTTGTGTCCACTCACATTACAAAGCCAGGCCTGACCCACACTCGGTTTCCTCAGTTACTGAGAGGCAGCCCCCAAGAATCCTTCATTAAGGAGCAGTGCTTTGAAAGATCTGACAAGACTGAACATCTGGCTCCTTTTTACATGCAAATACCCAGAGCACTCCTCTGCCTGGCACTCTCACACTGCCTGACTCTGCTGGTCGCTCACAATATTTTTCAGCCTGGATCACATTTAGATGGACAGTTTGGAAGCCGAAGGTGAAATGGCTGGCCCCATTTAGGGTGCTTAATATCTGAAGGGGGGGGGAAGTCACCCAAGCCAGAAATCCTAAATTTCCCTACATACTTTGACATGCAACTTGATGGATCAAGCATGAAAAATGAACTGTAGGCGATGACCATGGCATGGGGGTGTGTAAAGGTTTTGTCTGACTGAATAACTCATAAAGGAGCTCTAAAAAGTGAAGTCACTTGTATGGAAAAGTTGTGTTTTCTGGGAGCAAGTCTGTATGTGCTGCAACAAGAGGCCCCCAATCTGCAGGCCAACTCATTCGTGCTTCTTCTGTTAGACAGATGCACGATAGAGTGATATGAGGTGGCAAATGCAGGCATCTCCTGCAGCGGGATCAGAAAACAGCACCATGCAATTCTAAAATCTCCCAACTGCTTCCTCATTCCCAACAGGAACAGTCCTCAGCTCAAAGAAAACTGGAGCCATTGTGCAACTAAAAAGGAGTATTAGAAAATGTTATCTTCACAGGTCTCCGTGACAGTGCATGACTCCTATCCAGCCCTTCCCTGGCTGTTTGGCAAGTATTATTCATCCCCATTCCTCAGACAGGACAGACTGACGCAAAAAGGAAGTGATTTCCCCAGGCCAGAAAGTGAGCTAATATTGAAGTTGGTACTATGATTTGTCAACATAGCTGGAAGAGATGATAGGTTCTTGAGCTCTGTGGCCAAACCAAAAATTTAGGAGCAGGGGGTGGGAAGGGGGAGCCACGTGAGGCAAAAATCAAGTTAGGGCCAAACCAACAGAATTTTTTTAACCAAATAAAAACCAAACTTGGATCAACCCAAAATGTTTCACATGATCCAAAAGCAAAATATTTTATTTTATGTTTGGGTTATTTAATCAATTTTAGGATGATAAATTCAGGAGATGGTCACCTCTTGGACACTGCTGCAGGCTCAGATCATTTTTATTATGAAGGTGACAAGTCATCTTGGGACAAGTATTGTGCTTCATTTTTGATCTCCAGAGGGTTTGTAGCAGCCACCACCACAGGATGGCTCAAGAGACATCTGGTCAACTGAGGAAATGTCTGAGGATGAAGCCACTATCACTATATTGTTCACCAAGTCAATACCTGCTTCTTGAGCAGTGAAGAAAAGCAACAGCTCAAACACATGCTGCCTCCATGAAGAGATATGGGAATCCATAATCACAGAGCACAGCTATCATATTACCATAATTATACAGGATAAAGAGGATAATTGCTCCACAGTGTACATTACAAGGGAATTAGATGTGGGCTCACTAAGTGCAGTTACCCAGTAATCTGCAGGACCCTATAATTACTAAGCAGAAGCAAGGTATTTACCAGCAAGCACTGTGTTACTACTGTATTATTCTAAGAGTTACCAGATATCTGCTTCCTATATTCCCCCCAAATCCTGCTTAGTTATTATTAGTCATTAAAGGGCTACTGGGATGAAAAGTGAGGTATTGGTCTATTGTGGGTGGCGTGTGAAAAGTTCAGTTACTCTTCCAAAATTAATCAGAAAATACTTGCAAAATGTGGATGTAGTGGAGTAGCAGTTGTTCAGTACCAAGCGACCAGCACAGCTAGTGAGAAATGTATTTGGGGTTTTTTGATAGTTGCAAAGGCCAGCTGGGCTGGGGGATTTCAGGGCATAGGAAATGTGTTGCCACTTCCTTAAGCTGCTGGGAAGAGAGGGAGGACTAGACCCTATTCCACCTATCAGGTGCCTATGTGTGAACCTATTCCATCCTGGTCAAGTCCCCGCAAAAACCTTAATGCATCTACTTCTGTAGCATCCTGATATCTTAGTTTTGAGATTGGAGAACCTCCCATGAAAAGCATTATCAACTGCTATTTGGGGACTTAAGCAGGGTGGAAGAGGATAACTTGTAAGCACTTGATAGGTGGAACCAGATCTGGCCTGGGGTTGTGGATGAGGTGATGAATGTTACAGGGACCATTCACCAGAGGCAGCATTAAGGCACTACAAACTGCTGTTATGGTCATCCGTTCCATATGCTGTCTAGTAAAAGGCTCAAAATTGATCTTTGGCACAGGGTCTCCAACAGGTAAAGCCCACTGCTGCCCTCAGTATGCAGTGACTGAAGGAGGACTCAGAAGAATAGCACTTCCTCTTTTCATTATGTCCCTTAGTTTTACAGGTAGTTACATAGTTGTTATGGACTGGAAGGGACCTTACAGATCATTGAGTCCATGTCCTATTTGTCCCAGGATAAACAATGTTATCCCAAGGCAGGGTGAAACTTTTCAGACTTCTAAGCCCCTCATCCCAAGATAAATCCTAAAAAGGTTCAAGGGATACGAAGTGCTAACAATGGATCCTGGAACACTGCAAAGTGGATTTGAACAGTTGTTCCAGGATTGTGTTACTGAATCAATGGTAGAAAAGCAGCAGTACATTCAGCCACTCATTAAACCCTGATGAAAAGGGCGATGCGTGTACACACCAATTCCAGAATATTTCTGCTCCAGAATCAAGAGACCCAACCTGTCCAGGGACAAATGCCGCACACATTCCTAGCCTAGACTTTCTATTTGTTTGAACCTCATGGAAACTTTGCAGTAAATACAACAGCCTACAATTAGAATGTTTCTTATTTAGTGCTAAACCTTTTCCTGCACTGTTACTGCAGTTCTGTTGCCCCCTTTTGTAGTCACATGGGCACCATGACCACCCCCTGCCCCAGCACCACCATGTGGGCAATGCAAACCCGCCACCCATCCACTGCTGCTACCCGTCACTGTGGATCCCATCCCCTCTCCACCACCAGCCCACAAAGAAGCATGAACCTGTGCTGACCTCCCTCCTTCCTCCCACTGGTGCTACCTTGTGGGAAGCACAAACCCTATTTCCTCCTGCCTCACTGAGCTTCCTCCTGCCTTGCTGCCCTGTGCAAGGGATCCTGGCTGTCACAGCAGCAGCAGCCATGGAGGGAGTGGTGGCCAGGTCAGAGCTGCTGTCCATATATTAAACCTCTCATGGGCCAGACATGGTCCACAGGCCACCAGTTGGACAACTCTGCTTTTGAACACTACAAGATAAAAAACATTTTTTTTTTAAATTCAAAGCATCCATAAGCCAGCCAGATCTACACTGATGTTTACCAAAATGCTCTACAGGCACTGCTCCTCCCTAACACTCCTTTGCTACAATTGGGGTATTAATTTTTGCCTGCTTTGGCACTAGCTGTAGTCCAGGCTTCCTTTCCTTTCCCATATCCTTGTGCCAAGGTATTTAGCAGAACTCACAGATTCATTAGACTCTGACATAGCTGCACCATAAATGCTTCTGCTATGGCCTCAGTCAACCTCTGGGCTTCCAGCTGCTTGCCCCAGTGTCCACACCACTGAAACAGGGCTGTAGCCCAAGTGAAAGCAATTTAAGACAGCAGGATTTTAGAACAAAACTATGTAAGCAACTTTAACTGTAGTGTGGTTGCTAAACAGAGAGCACATTTTAAGGTATACACACAAGAATGAGGAAGTAAGATTGGTCCATCTTAATCTGTAAGACAACTTAAACATCACATTCATGCCACTTCTTTCCTATGGGATTTACCAGTGTTGTTACATGGGGAAACCTTTCTATAAAAGGGGAAAAAATATCTGTCATGAAGCCTCTGGAGCCCATCTTATTTGTTTACTATAACTTCTTAGTCTGATACTTTCTGAGTAAAATTGTCCTTAATCAAAGTCTTCAAGTACAGGCATAGGTAGTGGAGCTCTTATGAACTTATTCATCCCAAATTCTAGAGCCATCCCAGTTTCCATATTTTCAAGCTTATGACCATTTAAAATAAATCAACTACTCTGAAATGTGCAAGATGCCATTTTAGAATATATTTCTAGTTAATAATGAACAGGCCAGCTCTCATGTTTAGAGCTTTAAATGCAGTGGACCTACGTTCTTAAATTCAGCCTGTATGTAATTCTCATAGAGTCCACAAAATGAATAATGTTTGAAGGAAATCAGTTCAGTGGTCTTAAAGCTCTCACTTGTTATGTTGCCCAATGTGTGTTGAACTGGAATAACCACTACAAAAGTTTAGCAAAACAAATAAAAATAGAAAAGTTCTACTGCCTACACACAAAACCGAACAGTTGAATGGGCCTGAATTTAAAAAACTGCTTTGTAGCTTTTAACTTGGCTTTAACCTTGGATCCAAATGGGGTTTTTAAGATCTTTTGTGAAGTTTGCAGCTTCGCTTGAATGCTTTTAACTGCAAGAGGAAAAAGTTACTGTTGAGAACAAGAAACAATGATGAGACAATCTTGACTTTTAAACATGCAAATAACTGTACCTAAACTAACTAATTTAAAACTTTTCAATAAGCTGCATCTTGGATAAGTCTACAGAGAAGAAAATGAGGCCTACAGAGAATATGAGCAATGGAGAAAAACACTGGCTTCAATACTCGTCTACAAAAGGAAGTGTATCCCAATAAGCTAATGCACGATTTAAAAGGACAGTTGTACCGGTATAACCTCCAGTGTGAAGTCATAAGAATGGCTTTTTCCAGCTTGTTTCATGTTGCTTTGGAAAAAGTTTCAAGATAGATCTAAAACACAAGTCTTCATAAAAATTAGATGGGCATAACTAGTAAAAACCTACCCATATACACAGACCTTTAGTCTACATCTATATTTAACACTGTTGCTAACATACCATATTTACTTGAATACAAAATGAGCCCCACCCCACTTGGTATGGGGAAAAAAGCCCATTGTCATATAATCACATACAAGGAAATCTCACAAAATACACTGTCTATCATTAAACTGCTGCCAGAAGTAGCATGTGCTCAGCAATGGAAACCAACTATCAAGTTGAATAAATGCAGCCAACACTGAGCATGACTATAAAAAACGTGGCCCACATTGGGCAACTATGATATTGGAAACCCACCACAAGAATACGTTAGCGTAGACCATCTGAATTAGACATATAATAGTGCCCATTAAGTGCAGTCTTCCTCACTGCCAACTCTTTTTCAAGTCATAATTAGCCATGAGATTGCATACAGTTCACCTAGAATCCTTCTATCGCCTCCTCTCTCCGCCTGGCACATATGAATAATGTGGCCCCACCCTCCATGAGTTGAAGCTGGATCAGGTTGCCTTGCACCTCAACTGCATATAGATTTTTGGAGCATCCCAGGACTTGGGGACAAGAATACCTGGTTCCCATCATGAGTGGGGACTCATTAGTACATGGATCCTTTGTGGGGGGTAATCTGGAGTACACACATATACTGAGCAGTCCTGAGCTATAGGGTCACTATGGCTTGAAATACTGTTGAACTATGTGGTTAATCATGAGCCTTTGGCTTTAGACTAACAACATGCATATTTGGCACCTACTTGTATGTAGTACAAAAGTACTGCTCAAAAGTATGCTTATGCAGTACCTGTGCTAAAAGTTGCAGCAGTTAAAAAAAAAAAAAAAAAAAAAAAAAAAAAAAGGTAACATGCATCAATTCTGGATAAAAAAACTGCATGGGTACTATATGCAAATTGCTATAGCCATGTTTAATTTCAAGGTTGTTTTCAAATTTGTTCCTCACTTCCATGTGCTCAGGGAGATCAGGGTCTGACAGTAAAGAGAAAGGAAAGGGCTGGTAGGAGAAAAAGCTGGGGAGAAAGCAGAGAGCAAAAAGCTACCTGACCCCCCAGATTTATTTTCCCTGTTGTAGCAGTGAGACAAACAAATTCAAGGCAAACCTCCAATAATTAGATTCTATACCTGGAAAATGATAATAAACTTATAACATTTTCCATATATAGAATCTAATTATTAGGAGCCCATCTTGTAATCAGGGTCATCTTCTATGTGAGTAAATATGGTAATAACACTGGTCACAGTTGTGACACTTTTTGACACTTTTAGTTTAATGGGGGCTTAGGGGCTACGGTAATACACAAATAAGTCTGGCTGTCACACTACCTGGGATTATATGCTCTTCCTTATATTAGCTCCAGTACAGAAGTCTGGACACATTTTAAGCACTGCAACAAAGTGCACATGGTAGGTCAGTAGAATTTACTCCACAGATTCAGTTTGAAGCACTTGGATGGCCCACACTCCCATAGTTCTTTCATTAAAGGGATTAAGATGTAACTGAACTCTAACACCTTCCAGATAAAGCATAGATATATGAGATCCACAAAGAGCCACATGTACTGATCATATTTACCTGGGCACTTGTACAGCTTCCTGGCTTGAGCAATGTCTCCCTGACTAAGCCGAATACGCTGACCAATAGTTGGCCGAACTCCATTATCATCACGACGGGGCAGGATGGTGTCTAGGAAAACCCCTCTGGAGCAAGGAGAGAGAGAGAGAGAGAGAGAGAGAGAGAGAGAGAGAGACAAACAGCAGTGAAGGAATGAAGGCGGCATGATGTACATAACTGTGGTTAACAATGTGAACCCCATGACCACAGACCTTAAGCTAGCAGGAACAGAGAACAGGATTTGACCAGAGACCATATTTTATAAGAAATTTGTGGTTTGATATTCGCATTTTCCCGACACTTGAATAGCTTCCAAGAGTGCAGGTAGCTCTGCCAAGTTAATAAATTCCTCTTTGGTATACCAAAGATTGCCTCTGCTTCAATTTAAGCACAAGCACATCACTTACCTTACATTACATAAATCAGAAGAGGCAGGAAAATATCCTTTTACAAGATTCACATCAACATGGGCCTGGGTCAGCAGTAGCACAAAACAAACAGTGTGACCACGGGAGAAGAAAGGGATGTTTTTGCTTGGTACTGAGATTCTGTTTTGCTGACAGAGATCTTTTCTGTTTCAGTCTAGCATGGACAGTCCATTCTTAAATGATAAAACCAAAAGGAAAACCTCCTGTTCTTGCTTCCATCTACTCTCCCTTCTTGGTTCTTTTGCTTTGTCCTAGATGCCCAGCAAGCGATTCCCTTTGCACCGCGACGCGCAACGCAGTAACACCAGTGCGACTGACATTGTTTCATACACTGGTATATATTATACCAGATCCCAGAGTGGACATGCGACTGGCTACCCCTAGGTAGTTGCCACAGTATGTGTTTTCCCTTCAGGGGCAGGGGTATGCAATAGTCCATGAGGGAAGCAGACAGATGACAACTATGCCAGCATAACATATACCACAGTTCCTGCAAGGCTGTATTTTTCCCCCAGGGTAATGTCACACTAGCTTTCAGAAAGTTACATCAGTGCAGAGCTGCATGATGTGTGCCCACTTCTTTTCTTATACTGATATGTGTGTTACATGTCTAGATCTTTAGTGTTATTTTCCATTCTCTTCTCTGTTGCCTTCCATTTTACTGCTTATTCATAGAGTTCCTTCTCACATACTAGGCTTTGATCCCACAAAAGATTTAAGCACGTGTTTTAATTGACGCATACAAATAATTCCACTGAAGTGTATGTACAGATGTGCAAGGATTTTAACTCTATTAAAGTTAAAGTTAAAATATGGGGAGTAGGGAGGTGTCAGAAATGACTTTTGAGGTTTTAAAACCAGGTTGACTCAGCCACGCTAAATAAATGGATTTTTTATGTCACCCCTAAATGTTTTGTGTCATTCACAGTACAGACAGTAAATGACCCACTTGAAGTTAAAACATCCTCTCTTTGTGATGGACCTTCTATTTCTAAGGAAAATGATGCAAGGGTATGAAGAAGATGGGGAGGAAAATTAGGGTTGGGCATAATAACTAGTGCAATTAGATCCAGATAGAACACCTTTCTAATATGTGCTATACCTCACACATGAATAGCCCTTGCTAAAGTCAACAGTATTGTTAAGGTGGTTAAGTAATTTGGGACTGAGGGCGGTGGGGGCAGTAGCAGCTCTGCATTGTTATAATTTTAAAGCAATATTGTAAGGTGGAGCCACACTAATTAGAGATGAGCAGAGTTTCCATCAATGTTATTTCATCAATAATAAAATTTGCTTAAACAAGTTTTATTTAAAAAAAACAAAAAACAAAAAACCGTTTCGCAAATGTTCAGGTTTATGGCAAAGCAAAACCCCCTTCTCATTTTCAACAAGCTGAACTCTTTATTTTGGTGTGACAAGGGAGTGAAAGTATTTCCTAGCCAGCTATACAAGTGATGTTCATCATCTAAGGTTGCCTAATAACTTCTATTATTACTGTTGGCAAACACAACCCACAAATTCAGGCTGAAAGTTTCTGTGCTGGGCGTATGCCTGGGGCAGAATCTGTAAAAAAAGACTTCAGTAAAAATAGTTTTTTCATTACTAGACATCAGTTTAGCGGATAAATGGGCAGGTTAGTTAGCAATAAAACATTCTTTTGGCCACCTCAGGGGTTTGTAGTACTTGACATTTGGCAGCAGGATAACTCAGAGGTCAGAGAATTGCCTGTTATTGCCCCCAGGGGCAAACCTGGAAAGCTTTCAAAGTTATAAAATAAAGGAAATTGCTCTTTTGCACATGCTCACTAAGACTTGGTATATGCTTGCTCATAATTCTTTGGAATGCCTCAGCTGTAAGTCTTTGCTCCTAGGTTTCTCAGCCTCCTCCATCAAGAGGTGTCATCAAGTCACAGGCAAAAAGGAACCATATTTTCCTATGGCCATTAGCAAAGGTCAACAGTCGTTGACCTAAAGGAATGAACACTGGGTTGGGAGTCAAAAGAAGAGGGCTTTTATCCTCCCTTCTTTCATTGACTATGGTCTGTGCTCTTCACAACCCTTCCTGAACAAGGCTTGACTTTTGGAGACAAGAAATATAACTTCTCCCACTTTTTAAGACAAGGTAACAGAGGATGGGTGGCATCACTTTGGCACAGCTCACAATAGATCCCAAGAGGTCCTATAATGCAGACCCAAATCCCATCCACTTAACTGAACTGACTCTCAGAATGAATATTTAAATGATATGATTAGCTCTGGCACCTACAAAAGAGTACTTAGCCTCATGGTGCTCTAAGTCACTGACTAATAAGTACTAGGATAATGCAAGGCATCAATAAATACAGCAATTTGCAAGTCCTAAGTCCTAGCTTCCTTCTTGATCACCTTCTCCTTCAGCCTAGATAGTAAAAGTGTAATCCACTGGTGAAGTGTGCTGCAGCCTTCTAGTGAAAACTCCAAGTTTTGACCTAAGCCTGGACAGCCCATCAGACTAACATGGCTAAGATGAACTAGCACCTGTAGCCACAGAAGGGAGCGATGTGATCAGCATTATGTTTGATCACCCTTGGTTCCTCATCCTGACAACCCATTCATATCTGGGATGACTGGGACTGGCCTTTAGCACCAGTCCAAAGTGAGGCTTGAACTGGCACCTTTCAGTCTGTAGCAAAACACTCTATAACTGCTCTGTCCTCCAACTGGCCAACATAAGCCTAGATTAACAGCCTGACCACTAGGGAACTGCTACTTTAACTCAAACAGCAATACTCTTGAGATTAATTAATGCTTGCTCATTATTCTGAACATATGTACTACATTAACATTAAAAAGTTATAAAATAATCTGAAGAAATGCTTGTCATACACAATCCTGACTGAGGTCAATGGAGCCTATGTGTTTTCACTATCCCTTGAAAAGTCAGGTGGTAGCTGGCAAGTTATGTGCCAGAAGAGGTGGACAGTTTTGGCCTAAATCTGCATCTGAGTTCCCATCTGGAAAACAGAAACAATACAACACTGCTTCATGGGGTAAAGCCTATCAGGAAATATATCCAGTGCTGGGTTTGAATGGTGTGCAGTAAATACAGCATGAAGCCACACGCTGAAAAAAGGAAAAAATAAGAGCTATTGAACAGCTGCCTCAGGCCCCAAGGACCATGCCACCTGCATACTAAGTCAAGCAAGAATCTCGTGGAAAACAAAATCATATGATGTAATTGCAGGCTGGAAGTAATGCATACGAATAAGCATGCTGTGAATTAAGGTTGCACAGGAAACCTTAACCCTGACTTAGCAACCACACTTTCCTTAAGGGTTTGGGATTTGTTTGGTTTTGTTTTGGGTTTTTTTGGTGGGGGTATGAGGATTTGTTTTTTTTTAATGGAACACAGTAAAATCTCTCTCTGAAAACTCACTATCTGAGTCTTGATAGAGGGAGAGGACACTGATTTCCAATTCTGTCTTTTTGACCATGTAGCTTAGTGATTTGTGTCAGCCAGTGCATTAGAAAATATAAATCTGTAGCCATATTATCCATGATGTGCAACATTAGTTATGGGCAATAGCAAGAGCCATGATTGTTAAAGTATATTTATCCTCATTATGGTCCCTTGCACTTCCAGTCAAATTCCCATTGACTACTGACACTAATGAAAAGTACTCTCAGGGCTTCAGCTATTAATCCCTTCCCCTGGCCCCACAGCTGGAGCAGAACTGTGTTACAATGAATGATGTAAAACCCTTAATTTTGTGTGGGGCTGTGGGGCCAATGCAGCAGCATCTCTCACTGACCAGGGGCAGATGGGAGGGGGAAGAAGAGTCAAACAAGGGAAGTCCTGCCTCTACTCTGTATGGCCCCCTTGCCTCCATTCCAACGATTGACTCCCTTTACTTAGTAAGCACTCAATTGCCCATTTTCAGTTATGCTACTGAAGTGGAAAGGAAAACAGGAACCAGAAGACAAAACCAAAGCAGGGAGATAACAGACTAAGGCCCCAGAAAAAACTGGGGGAAGGGGGCAAAAGGTCTGAAAGTACTATTGAACCAACCAATTAAGGTTGCAAAAACAGAGGAGTGAGGCTCTGAGGTGGCCTCTGAATAGGAGCAGTGGTGATTTAAAAGCTGCTTTATCTTGTCAGCATCGCTTGAGGACAGCCCTTTGTATAAAAATGCTTAGTAATTACCTGTGCCAGAAGTTTTTGCAAGGAGTTACTGAGCTCCTATACTCTTCTGCCCCATGCTTGCATCAAGAGGGTAGAATAAACAGACGATAACACTTACTTAAAGAGAGATGGTAGTTACACGGCAATAACTGCTTTCTTGCACTGTGTAATAACCCGATGTTCTGATCCACAGGAGGTAGAGTGCCACTAGCCTGATGTGCTGTTCCCTTAGCTTAGCTGGCAGAAGTTCACACTTATTAGTTGTGGAATTCAGGAGTTCACTCCCCATTCATAGTGGTTGTGACATGGGACATGCATCCATTGCACTGGTACAGGCTGGGGGCTGACTGGCTAAACAGCAGCTCTGCGGAAAAAGGACCTGAGGGTTACAGTGGATAGTAAGCTGAATATGAGCCAACAGTGTGCCCTTGTTGTGAAGAAAGCTAATGGCTACCACATTAGTAGAGGCACAGCCAGAAGATCAAGGAAAGTGATTA